CAACGCTCAGCAAGCTGCTCAGATACAGAAGGACCGTGACACTATCCCCACTGCATGGTTTAAATTGAATGACCATGATGATGATTCAAGGCACCACTTATACCCTAACATCCTGCTGTATTATGTGTTTAATAAGCGCTCTAGAAGATGAACACCAGGGCAAAGGAATATGGTATCATCAGTAGAGTGTATACAGTAAGCCCTAGAGACACAGAAAAAAAAATTTTCATTTGAGAATGGTGCTGCTGCATATATCCGGCCACGTGAACTTCCAGGATTTGCGCACTGTAGAAGGAGAAATCTTGCCAACATTTAAGGCAGCATGCTTGAGATATGGTCTTCTCTCAAACGATAACAGACCGGAACATGCATAACTAGAAGCTGCTGCCTGTCGGATGCTTTTAAAATTGAATGTTATGTTTGCTGCCCTGTGCACGTATATGAACACTGCAAATGCTCTTCACCTGTAAACAACTCACAAGGATATCCATGATTGAAGATTTATTGCACCAAGGTTTTAATGCAGACCATGCAAAAAAATCATGGCACTGCACTCAATTGATGCAATTCTGATAGAGAATGGCATTAACTGTTCAGCGATTGGGCTACCTGAAGTTTATGCAGCTTAACTATCATGAAGACATTGATCACCCAGGCATTGCAAGACTTACTGATGAACAGAGACTGGTTGCTAATGTTGTGCTTGAATCTGCAGATTAGAAGAACAGAGGTGAAGTGCCACCCAAACTCCTGTTTCTAGGTAGATGCACTAGGGGGTGTGGTAAAAATTATATGTTTAATACCATAATTTCATATCTGCGAAGGAGCAGCTGCAACGTGTGCAGTAATGCTTGGACAGGTGTTGCCTCTACACTACTGTCAAAGGGAAAGACTATGCATACTTTATTCAAATTGCCTGCCCCACTCACGGAGGCCAGTGTTTGTAATGCACCAACCACTTCAGACCATGAAAATTACTTACGAAGCCTGGATTTGATCATCTTGGATGAGGCTTCTATGGTCCCTTCATTTGATTTTCATGCTATTGATAAAACCTTGTGATATATCACTGGCATTGCTGCTGTTTTTGGTGGTAAAGTTGTGCTATTGGGGGGAGACTTTAAACAAGTCCTACCCATATTGCCAAGAGTAAGGCGTGAGGCAATCATTGAAATCTGTATTAAAAATTCTCCTCTATGGCTGATTTTCATCCAATACAGATTAAGTCAAATCATCAAGACTACAGCAGATCAAAGGGAATTTTCAGCATGGGTTTGCATTTTTGGCAATGGAACATCGGCAGCCTCACAAGACCCTAATCTTGGTGTTGATGATATAGAAGTGCCTCAAATTTCAGGTGTTGATGGTGGATGATATCTTCAACAATACACCTGAATAGAGAAGGGGCAGTGTAATTCTTTCGCCAAAGAACTCAGACTTACTCCTGATCGATGAAGAAGTTTTGAGACAACTTCCAGGTGACTGTTGCACCTATTATAGTACAGATAAAGTTTTGACATGATCCTGCTGGGGCTGATCGCTACTCACTTGAATTTCTAAACTCTTTGATACCATCAGGAATAACTCCTCATAAATTGAGTTTAAAACCCGGCTCAATAGTAATGCTTCTTTGTAACATTTCTATCCAGAATAGACTCTGAAATGGTACAAAACTGGAAATCATGACCATGTATCAACATTCAATCGAGGCTTCTTTGATTAGTGACTTGTCCTCATTTCCAGAATAAAGCTGACTCCAAGCGACTTAACTTGTCATTCACCTTAGCGAGAACCCAGTTCCCTGTCCGTTTGCCATATGCCATGACTATTAATAAGTCAAAAGGGTCAGACATTTGAAAAGGTGGGATTCATCTTACCTCAGCCAGTGTTCAGTCATGGGCAATTGTATGTGGCATATTCTAGAGCTCGCAAACTCTCAGATGTAAGCTTCAGCTGGCAGAATGTGACACAAAGGACAGTTTAACGTGGAGAGCCCGAGCCGATGCACCTGGGTCAGGTCCCAAAAGTAGCACAACAAAACAACACGCACCCACCCCCGATATTACTACCGATCTCTCCTCTTTAGTACCATGAGGGAGGTAATACAGCAGGCAGATGTTCCCCGAGACTGGACACTTCCCAATAATATTGTCAGCTGTCCGAAGTCAGAGAAACAACTGAGTGATGAAATATAGTTCATCCGCTCGAGGCCAAACACAACGCTTTGATCTCAGCCAAAAGACCGAAAATAAGGGCGACTGCGATAAAAGCGCCATTTTTCAGACGCACAGTATCGAACGACGGAGACCGAGTAAGACAATCGTTAAAAATCCAGTTACCATAAATTAAATGAAATACGAAATCATATTTATTATAAAATCCAGGTTGTGTGTGTGTGTGTGTGTGTGTGTGTGTGTGTGTGTGTGTGTGTGTGTGTGTGTGTTCGTTTATATATTGGATAGGATTTCCTACATTTTTCAACCGATTTCAACAAAACTTCACAGGACTATGTAAAATTACCTTGCGGTGGTTCTGAAAGCGCCAAAAATTGGAAAAACACAATTGTTTTTGCACGAAATCAATTTGAAACACGACTAAGAGGCATCGCTATCACGAGAATGAAAAGGAGACAACTCATATCGAGTTATACTTATTATAAAACCCAGGTTGTGTGTGTGTGTGTGTGTGTGTGTGTGTGTGTGTGTGTGTGTGTGTGTGTGTGTGTGTGTGTGCTCGTTTATATATGGGATCAGTTTCCTCCATTTTTCAACCGATTTCAACAAAAACTTCACTTTTTTTTATCAGGTAGTGTTTCTTATTGTCTTGCACACTTTTTTCTTTATTTTTACATTCAGAATGCTTTAAAAATTCCATTTACAAGACAATTGTTTATAATAAAATTCTATTCAATCGGTAGACTCATAACGATTGAAAACAATGTTTTTGTTTGAGTTTGGGTTTGACCAATTCGTAAAACAAAACAAAAAAACAACAGAAAAAAAAACTAATTAAGACATGCGTGTCCGTCAATCTTAAACAATAATCTTTGTCAATTTTATGTTTCAGTCTTTATGATGGTCGATACTTGATCTATCTCTTACTGTTACATCCCCGGACAACGCCGGGCTCTACTGCTAGTTATTTTAAAAGAAATATTCGTAAGACGGGGACTTGGCTCGAAAGAAATGTATTTAACGTCTCCTGCTAATGCCTCATAAATAATCGACTATTCCGTTTTGATTGCGTAGAAAAACAGAATGAATTATGAGTTATTATTATTGTTGTTATTACTTCCTTGGATTTCTAATGTATACACATTTCCTTCCAGGCCCCAACCAGAGACCTAGGGTTAGAAATAGCTTCATTGCATTTTCCATTGAACACAAAACCATAAAATAAAATAAGATCATACACATTTTACATAGATAAAGCTCTTTGTAATGTTTGAGTACAATTTTTTGTAATTCTTTAAGGAATGGTCTACCAGGAATCAATTCAATGAGCCTATCGGAAACTTTTCTACTCAATCCGAGTACTCCAACTACAACTGGAAATACTGGTGTCTTCATTATTATTATTATTATAATTATTATTATTATTATTATTATTATTATTTTCTTTGGTTTCTGTTTTATCCTCACTTCATTCTGGGCCCCAGTCAGAGACCTAAGATCAGAAATGGCTTCAAGATCACACACATTTTACATAGATAAAGCTCTTCGTAATCTGTAAGCTGTACTTGAGTGTACAATTTTTTGTATTTATTTAAGGCTTGAGCTACCAGGGATCCCTTCAATGAGTCAATCGGAACCTTATTATTATTATTATTATTATTAAATTAATATTATTATTATTATCAATGTTATTATTATCATCATTATTTTTTTTCTTTGATTTCTGACGTTTACATATTTCTTTCCGGGTCCCGCCCAGGGACCTAAGGTTATAAATGGCATCATAACATTTTCCTTCCACTGACAAAAAAAATTATATAGATAAAGCCCTTCGTAAAAATGTGGGCTGTACTTGTCAGGACAATTTTGTATCTCCTTTGAGGCATGGACTTCCAGGAATCCCTTCAATTAGTATACTGCAATCTTTTCCAACCAGTTCTAGGGCTCCAACTACAACAGGGATTGTTGATGTTTCCATATGCCACATTTTCGAGATTTCTATTTCAAGGTCCTTGTATTTTTGACAACTTTTTTGAATATCTTCAAAGATACATTGCAGTCAGCAAAATGACTGCCATATCAATAAGGAGGCACCGTTTTTTTTGTGGTCTTTAATAACAATATCCGGGCGGTTGGCCTTGATTGTTCTGTCAGTGTGTATTGTGTAGTCCCATAGAATTGTAACAGGTCCTATCTACGTGACCGGGTCTGGGTGGTGTTCATACCAGTTTCTTTCAGTTCCCTTCCCGTTGTAAGTTGCAGATTTTCCAGTGCAGATATTGGCCCATTCTGTCATGTCATTTTTTTTGTTTTTTATTATTATTATTATTATTATTATTATTATTACTATTATTATTATTGAGCAATAGACCAGCGCACAAACAAAATGTCGCTGAAATACAAATATACGAAGCCCGGTATACGCATCATGACACCCTGTCTGATAAAGGGTATAACAGGAACATATCATCATCATCATCATCATCGCTACCATCATCATCAAAACCATCATCATCATAATCATTATCATAGACGCACTAATAAGGGTATGCCCGGCACATGCATCCACAGCCAAATAAGCGCGATAGCGTGAGAGGGTTTTGATAAACGCAGCGTATAACAGTGTAGGTGGTGCCCAGTTAGAAATACCTTCAGGTCAGATAACCCGATCCGCTCAGGTGGTCTCCGATTGTAGGTGCTTCCCAAGTATATAGGTGTGTCTCCCAAGTCGTCTTGGCTGCTTCATCCTTGAAATTTGAAATGAAACCATGATGCTCCCCCGCTACTCCTACTCATGGGCAGATATCCAACCCGAGCGGACAAGCTTAGGGCCATATCATGTTTAGACATCGGTTCTCATACGATCACCGAAATTAAGCAACGTCGAGCCTTGTCAGTACCTAGATGGGGGACAGCATGGAAATACCAGGTACTGTAAGCTACGATGTGTCGGTGGTATAATGGATAACGGCTCAGATTTGGAAATCGGGAAATTATGCTCATATATTAATATAATAATCGGAAAGGATATATTTTACTTACTCACATATAAAAATCTAATAATAATACTAAGGACTTAGAAAAATATGTCACCATGATAATAATTGAAAAATCCCTATTTTTCTTTAAACAGCTGACGCAGATTGTTACTGTAATTCAGTCATATTAAACGTAACATCATGAATGAATATTTTCGTAGTTTTATTTTTTCAAATCGAACTGTGTATCGGTTGGGATTTTTTTTTGTCTGTTAATTTAAAATATATCATATTTTTTAAAATAATTTTAATATATATATATATATATATATATATATATATATATATATTATATAAATTTATTTTTTTATATATATATATATATAATGCATATGTTTGTGCGTGTATATATGTCTATATAGGTGAATTTACGTTTGTATTGTTTTTTATGTGCATGCGTATGTTTGTATATGTGTTGGTATATATGTATGTTTGTGTATTTATCAGGTCATCCCATAAGTTATGTCCAAATTTTACCTTTTTTTAAAATGAATGAAATTTAAAGAGTATTCTATAATGTCTAATGGAGCTGAACATTATTTTTATGTTTAGATGCATTTAAACTGATCAAATTTTATTTCAGAGACAAATAAAATTAAATTTTGTTTGATTAAAACCCTGCTAACATGGAAGTACCCAAAGAATCATTTGAGGCACATAATGCTTTATGAGTTCAAGAAAAGAAACTCAGCAGCCGAAGCGGCTAGAAACATTCATTCAGTTTATGGAGAGGAATGTGTGAGTGAAAGAACTTGCAGAAGATGGTTTGCAAAATTCAGAGGTGGAGAATTCACCCTTGAAGATGAAGATCGAACCGGACGTCCAGTTGAATTTGATGAAAAGCTTCTTGAAGCAGCCCTTGAAGAAAATCCTGCTTTATCAGTTGAGGAATTGACAGTGGTTCTCAGTTCAAACCATACAACTGTTCATTGTCATCTTCAACAACTTGGAAAAGTTCCTAAACTTGGAAAATGGGTGCCTCATGAATTGTCTGAAAACAACCTCAAATCCCGAGTTGACATCTGCTCTTCTCTCCATTCTCGCCAACTTGTTTCACCTTTTTTGGATAGACTTGTGACTGTCGACGAAAAATGGATCTTTTATCAAAATGTTAAGCCTAATAGATAGTGGCTTGGTAAAGGGGAAGGACCACAGCCGAGAAGGAAATTTCATGGGCAAAAGGTTCTTCTTTCAATCTGAATTCTTACCACCTAATGCAACAATTAATGCTCAAATATACTGTCAGCAATTAGAGCGTTTGAACCAAGCTTTGAGGAAAAAAAACCTGCTCTAGTGAATCGAAAAGAGGTGATGTTTCATCAGGACAATGCGCGACCCCACACAGCAAGAATCACGTCACAAAAGATCGAAGAACTTGGTTGGGAGAAAATTCTCATCCACTTTATTCTCCTGATCTTGCTCCTTCAGACTACCATTTGTTTTGTAGCTTACAGAATCATTTGGAAGAAACAGCTTTTGTAACACAGGAAGAGGTTAAAACTGACATTTGGGAGTTCTTCGATTCAAAGCTAAAATAATTTTACAGTAATGGAATTAGTAAGCTTGTTAATAGATGGAAGGAAGTCATAGATAATCAGAAAATGCATTGTTGATTGAATCTGTAATTAAATGTCACATTTGGTCACTTGTTTTCTTTATTCAAAATTCGGATAGAACTTATGGGATGACCTGATAGTTTATATGCGCATATGTATACATGCATATGTATATGCATATAAATAATATATTTATATATATATATATATATATATATATATATATATGTGTGTGTGTGTGTGTGTGTGTGTGTGTGTGTGTTTTATTTATGTGCATGTATATATATATATTTATATCTGGTTTGTTCATTTTTTCGACGCTGTCCGGGTTGATATATTTATACTTGCTTCTGTATGTGTATATATGCGTATGTGTATGCGTATATATATATATATATATATATATATATATATGTGTGTGTGTGTGTGTGTGTGTGTGTGTGTGTGTGTGTGTGTGGATGTATGTAGACCTATATTTCTTTGTATGTTTGAATGTGTATATATTATATATGTGTGACTATACACTTATTTCTGTAGGTAATTCTTTTTATCTTTTTTTCAATATAATATATAATAAAACATATATCAAAATTATATGATTAAAATATATGTTTTTTTATAGATATTTTTGTGGGTTTTATAAATTTTTTTATTTTAATATATTAAATAATGTTTATTTTTAAGCATTTTTATTTTTTATATATTTTTGGCTTAAATATATTTTAATAAGTGGCATTTGTTTATTGAATTAAACTTTTAGTCTTAAATATTTCTTGGTTGTGGTATCTGATTGTCTAGGTCAATTATGTGGATGTGTGTACATGTATTTATAGGTGTCTATGTGTATGGAAAATGCATGCACTTTTAATTGTGTATATATGTGTGTTGTTTTTTTTTATCTTTTTTTTTTTTTTTTTTTTTATAAAGGGGCCGTGGAAATGTTCCTGTCTCGTCACTTTTTTGTGTGTATATATATCTAAATATATCTGGGTGCTTATGTATTATAATCTGATTGTGTTTTTTGTTTTTTTACGACGCAAGAGGTTAAACAAAAATTCAAACATTAGGGATTAAAAAAAATATATATTTTTGTCAAATGACCGGATATATTTAGCGTCTATTCTAACGTAATTTCAATGAAGAAATAAATTGAATAACATATATTTTTTTTTTTCTCCCCAGTAATTTTAAATTTTTTAAACTTAATAGAGATTAAATTTGGATTTTAAAATTGGTAATTTTTAACTTTTTAATTTTAATATCAAATTTTATCATATAATTTAATAATTATTGGTTAGAATAAATTCTTTTTTTTATTATTACCCATATTTTAAAGATCTGAATAGCTATTATAACATGATTTCGTTGTCAAGCTTTTGAATTTTCCTATACTTGTATTTTTGATTGGTCATTCTAGCTTTTGTAAACAACGTTTTCCCCTTGCGAAGGATCGTTAATTAATTTGAAACTTTTAAAACCATTTATTTTACATTCAACATCATCACTTGATAAGACACCGGAGGTGTTGAAACAAAATGGCTATTTTTTTGTAGTGATTTTATAACGTATTTATGTTATAATTTTTAAAAAAATAATAATATATATATATATATATATATATATATATATATATATATATATATATATATTTCAAAATTTCATGGTCCTTCACCGAAATATTTGCTTACGACTGCGTATTTTTATATATATATATATATATATATATATATATATATCTTATAGCCTAACCCACAACTGCTTATATGGATGTGTTGGTGTGAACTTAAATGAATTATACACCTATATGTATTGTGTCTATGTTCATGATAATTTTGGGGAAAAAACAAACACAAAAGTATTCCCCCTCCTGCCACCAAACATAAAAACAAAAAAATATTTAAAACCAAAAAATATAAAAAAAAAAATTTTGTCAATGATCGCAAAATTATGAAACTCATATCCATACAACTTATTATGTTATTAGTCAAAGATATTGATATGTTCAGACTAAGTTCCTTTAATATAAAAATAAAATATAATATTTATCTTATATATTTAATATATATATATATATATATATATATATATATAAAATATGTTTAATTCAGTTTTCAGAATTGATTGGGATAATTCTTTGTGGATATAAATGCAAAGAGACCGGAATGTAAGATCAGAATGATTATAAAAAATGAAATCATAATTTGTCTTAAAAATATTTATATTTAATTTTTATTTCTTGAAAATATGGCGCCCATCTCTTCAGATCCAAAACTTTTGGTTTACATATATTTTTTTTTATTTTTAAATAAATTAAAAGAAAAAAAATTTCTAACATAAATAAATATTATATATATATATATATATATATATATATATATATATATATATATATATATATATATAAATTTATTCAAATATATAAAAAAAAAAAAAAAAAATTAAAGGTAAATAATCCGAATATTTTTTATTTTTTACTTTTATTTTAAAAACAGTGCTCAATAAATTTGAAAAAAATTTAAATTATAATTATTTAAAAAAATATATATGATTCCTTCGATTCTAAACAACTCATGTTTCAAAAACAAGAGCCAAGACCTCTGTTTCAACCTCAAGCGAAATTTTTGTAATAACTAATCTTGAAGTAGACGATGTGCGTATAGGAATGTTATCATTTGCTTTAAAATGGACACCTCTTCGGTTGGCTTGGCTTGGCCTCTTTTTTCTGACTTCGACTGATAAGATGATAAAAATTGTTAACTCTTACGCCCCTTTTCTGATTCGAAATCTTTATATATTTCCATAATACTTAATTCTACATTTGAATCTGCTTATAAAATTGCGTATTTTCAAGATTAGTTATTCTAAAAAATTTCGCTTGAGGATGGAACTGGAAATTTGGCTCTTGTTTTTGAAACATTCAACAATTCAAAATTTTATTAATAAATATTCAAAATTTTTAATTATCATTTCATTGATATATACCTTCAAGGAAATGGTTATATCACAAAATAGGATAGCTGTTGAAGACATGATAAAGAATCAACAAAATTAGAACAAAAAAAAGTAACTTCAAAAGTAACAGGATACATACATTGATTCGGACATGCGTTCTTTAATTGAAATTTTTGAATCTTTTAAATTTTATAATTAAAAAATATGATATAAAATATTTTATTCGAAGCTATTCATTTAAATTGAATTTCTCTGGGCAGGCCAAGATCACTAAGATGGCGGCTGGGGTGGGGCAGCTTTGGATATCTTCACTTTCAATTTTTTTTAGTCACTCATGTGAAAATATTTTTAAGCACCAGGTGGAGGAAAGATCGGAAAGATAGATTTACTTGT